TGAAGAAAGGCTGAGAGAGAGCTGGGCCTGTTTAGCCTGGAGAAGAGAAGTCCAAGAGGAGCTCTGATCAATGTGTACAAGTATCTGAAGGGAGGGTGTCGAGAGGATGGGGCCAGACTCTTCTCTCTGGTGCCCAGCAATAGGATGAGAGGCAACGGGCACAAACTGAAACGCAGGAAGTTCCGTCTGAAGATGAGGAAAAACTTCTTTCCTGAGAGGGTGACAGAGCCCTGGAAGAGGTTGCCCAGAGAGGTTGTGGGGTCTCCTTCCCTGGAGATATTCAAAAGCCGTCTGGACGCGATCCTGGGCAACATGCTCTAGAGGACCCTGCTTGAGCAGGGGGGTTGGACTAGATGACCTCCAGAGGTCCCTTCCAACCCCAACCATTCTGTGAGTCTCTGAAAAATATAAATAACTTTATTATTTCCACTGCCTCTGCAAAAATTGTCAATGTTAATTTTAATTTAAAATGGACTGTTTGGGAGAAAGAAGTGAAGTCTGAGCAGATGGTTGTTATAAACAGCATGGAATACTTAGAAAATTAATGTTCAAGTATATGCAAATTAGTACATTATGTAATATTTCTTTATATAAATGCCAAAAGGAGTCACGTCGAAGAAACCACAGAAATATTATTCTCTTTTTTTTTTCTTTCTTTATAAGTATTTTAAAGAACTATTACTTTGTAGGAAGGCTTTTTAGTAGCATGCAAAAATCATCAGTGGATGCATAAGTCTTAAGCTGCATAAAGGCATAATATGACATATTTTTTGTACAGTGGCTTTCTGTAGGTCTGCAGTAACAGGAGCAGATGACAGGTTTCACATGGATTGTCCCTAACTTTTTATTCCTTTGGCAGCAAACCTGATACATACATTGTATCCATCATGGGAAAAGCTGCCATCTGAGACTTTTCTTCAGTACCTTGCTTTCCACCCCCACCCATCAATATTTATGTTTTAAAGTAGACTGAATGAAATGAAAAGTAGGGATTTCATCTCACATCTCACATTTTATTTCTTCAGATATGTAGTATCTTTTCAACACAAAAAGTAGCATATGCTTATGAGGAGCTGAATCTTCTGCTCTTGCATTCTATTTTATGTGGTGTGTCTCTTTCCTCTTGAATGCCAAAGGACTTCTAGGTAACCTGAAAAAACATGCCAATGTGTAGCAAGTGTTTGAAAGAATGTTGATTTTTAAAGTGTGTTGTAACTTCAGAAAAATAATATCCAGAATGAAATCGTAGAACTGTAGAATACTTTAGGTTAGAAGGGCTCTCTAGTGAGTCATCTGGCCCAACCTCCCTCCCTGCACTCAAAGCAAATCTAATCCATTCAGGTTGCTCAGAGCCCTCTCCAGGTGAGCTCTAAACATGTATGCAGGAGAGCTGACAAGCTTCCTGGGTATCTGTTCACGTGCTAAACTGCTCTCACGCTGAGGAATGTTTTTCCTTAATCAGAATTTCTCTTGCTGCCGCTTGTGACTGTTGTCTCTCATTCTTTTGCTGTACATCTCTGAGAAGAGTCTCTGTCATCTTGACAACCCCTCTTTAGGTAGCTGATGACAGCAATTAGATGCCTCCTCAGCTTTCTCTTCTCTGGGCTAAATAAGCCCAGCTCCCCTGCCATTCCTGATGCATCACACACTCTAGCCCTCTAACTGTCCTAGTGGCTCTGTGCTGGACCCTCTCCAGTTTGTCAAATATTTGTTGTATTGGAGATAACAAAACTGGACAAAGTACTCTAGATGTGACTTCATGAGTACTAGCGGAGGGGAGTAATTGTTTCTCCTGCTCTGCTGGCTACAATCTGCTGGCTGATGCAGCCCAGGATGCAGTTGACCTTCTCCACTGCAAAGACCCGTTGCTGGTTTATGTGAACTTGTTGTCCACTAGGACCCCCCAGGCTCTTTTTTTGCAGAACTGCTCTGCAGCCATTCCATCCCCAGCCCATCCTGTAGGGTGGAGCTATTCCATTTCTTGTGCTGGACTTTCCGTTTGTCATTGAACTTCAGGAGGTTCTTGTTGGCGTATTCCTCCAACTTGTCGAGAACGCATTTGAGCGGTAGCCCTGCCCTGCAGCTTATCAAGTGTTCAGTGACAATCTTCCTTTCCTTCAGTCCCCAAGTGTCTGAAATAATTTTTTTTAATTTTAACTAAAAATATCATTTTTCTTTTTTGTTTGCTGATGAGATAATCATGTTAACTCAATAATAGCTTAACTATAAAAGTTTAAATGTGTCATTTTAATGTCTTGTGTTATTAAATTTAATTAACGTTCTCATTTTTACCTATTTTTTGTTTTTTTAACAGATGAAACATTGAAATGAGATTCTGAGCACATTCAGCCTCTTTTAATAAAGCACACTTTGCTATCAAAGATCTGTTTTTACTCATAACATAGATTTTTCAAGAAAGATTGGCAACTGATCCCCAAGTAGACCTTTCCAGATTAATATTTTACAAGATTTACTTTGGAAAGGAAATGTGTTTCAGTGGCACATAGATCCAGCTGGAATATAATTTACGTAATATCTGTTTTCACAATGGCCGAAATAGAAATTCAGAATTATTAGTGTTAACACTTAGAAATACCTATATGAACATTTTCAGATTTTGGCCTTTGGCTTATCTGTATTATTTGTTTTCCAGGGAATGATCTGATATTTTTGATGTATAGTGTACTGGTTTGTACTAGCCTCTTTTGACCACTTTTTCACTCACTTACCATACTGAACAAGTTTTGACCTTTTTAGGATATTTTCAGATTCTCAGGAAATATATATATATATATATATATATATATCCTGAGAATCTGTAAAATAACTTAATGAACAAAATAGGATTTCTGATTGTGTTTTGTTCTGATTTGTGTTATTGAATTATGCAAAACTGGGCTATAGTAAATCCTGATATGAAAGGAACTGTATAATAGTCTCCTCATTCTAC